GCCCCTGGCCGCCGCCGCCGCCGCCTCCGGCGTCCGCCTTGCTCCGCGGCCCCCGTGCCGGCTCCGGCTTCCCAGGCTGCTGCGGGGACGCAGAATCCTCTGGTGCTCATGCAAAGGTGGCCCGGCTCCCGCGAGGCTGTTCCACCGAGTGGCCGGGCTCCACGGCCGCCCGCTCTCCCGGCGCCGAAGCTCCGCCGGGGTCCCGGGGCGATCCGCGCCGCGGCTGGAGAAGCCGGCCCGGCCTGGCGGGAGGCGGCGGGGTCGACTGCTCACGGCAAAGCTACCTCCATGCGACCCTCCCCTTCCCGCCCCTTCCCCTCCCCCCGCGACCGGTCTGGGTTCTTGGGCGCTTATTGTTTTAATGATTGGTTTTGGTGGCTGTTATTGTTTCGGTCCTTGAATGTGATTTGAGCGGCCAGTAAAGCGTCCGCGCTCCCCTTGGGCGCTCTCCGAAGGTTTTCAGAGAGACTGCAGTGCATCCATGTTCTCAGATCCTCTCCTGCTTTCGGGGGAAGATCTAGGGCCCTGCAGGCGCCTGGGGACGCGAAGGCGGCGGGTCGCGCTCTCGGAGGGGTCTGCGCAGCGGCCGAGGGGGCTCCCGGGTGGCGGCGGCGGCGGCGGCGTTCCTAGGCTGGACTCCGGGAGGGGAGCAAGCGATTTTTCCCAGCAAGATCTCCATGTACAGCTACATCTTTAGGGCAGCTCGGGTTAATATATGTCGTCAGAGGCTCCGCACACCAATCCGGGGGCGGCGGGGGCGGCGCCTGGCTCTCTCCGCAATAAAACTTTTTTGATGTTCAAGTCACTAATTGCCGAGGTCCTCTTTCGGGATTGGCTGCGCCTTCATAACCATAAGATAATTAAAACGAGGGGGGGGCAGGGTTAAAAAAAACTTTTTTATCAGCTAGAGGTTAATGCAAGTGTTTAACAGATGCTTCTCTATTAAAAATTTCCCCCCAAGTCTCAAATATTGAAGAATCTCATGCCAGGTACAGTATCACTCACTCCTCTTTCTTTTCTGGTTAAAAACGATTAATTGCTTTTCGAAGTGTTTTGTAGGTAACTGAGGCCAGAGCAGGAGCAAGCCGGCTCTTGCGGGGGCCGCGAGCAGAGACGGTAGGCGGCGGGGCCCCCACAAACGGGCGGCTGGAGGCGCGCGCCCTCCTGGCCGAGGCCCGCCAAGGCCAGGCGGGGAAGTCTGCTGCCTTGACCTGGGCACAGGCTGGAGACGCAGCTCTCCATGCCTCTTACTTACCCGGGCCGGTACCGGCTGGGGTGGTGGCTCATGTGCTTGCGCTACTTTTCAAGATCTTGGTGGAGATCCCGGGCGACTGGGCCGGCCGATTGTAAATGTTCTTATTTCCATATTTTTCAGGGACATCCGCCCCACCGAAGACCTTGGGCGATTTCAAAGCGCCGGCACCTCGATTGCCCGAATCAGTGATGTGGCCGCTATCGGTGTTCCCACGGTTTAACTAGCCTGTTTGGTAAGTAACTGAATATTTTTTACAGCGTGCTCGGAACTTATTTTCCGGTTTTTATGAACAAACATATAAATACATCTCTGCATTCCTGCCTCCCCCATAAAAGCGGGCATCTGCGGAAAGCAGGTTTAGTTACCGGCGGGGAACCATTAAACGCCAGTTTAAGAGGCAGGCGGTGAGGACGGCTCGTGGATGTTTAGACTGCTCGCCTGGGTGATCTTGAACGCATTACAACAGAAAGTGGATCCCCACTTGTAAGTCACCGGCCTCGGGGCAGCCGGGAGGGGCCGGGCGCCCGCGTGGCGTGAGCATCTTTAGAGGACTCGCAGGGGTGGCGGGCCTTGGCAGGAGCGAAACCACCCCAGGGGCTTGGCCCTCAGCCGCGAGGGAAGCCGGGGAGTATCTGGAGATTCAGCCTGCTGGAGTTGCGTGTGGAGAACGGTGCCAACAGGGGCCCGCGGGCGGCAAATTAGAAGGAGCTGAGGGCCGTGCGTGCAGGAGCAGGGAGAGCCGGGATGGCCTGGACTCGCCGCTGGGCCTGACCGGGGTTGCTCGGGGGGAGACCAAAGACTCCACCTTGGCCATCGCCCTTTGGAGGCAGGCAGAGCCGGGTCCCAGGCCACAGGGGAAGCCCAGGCTCCTCACACCTGAGGCCTCAGGAGGACAGGCCCTTCCCTGCCCTCCGGGCGCTCGCCGCGGGCTCCGTGGTTCTGCGGTGGAAGACCAGGTCAGCTTGCAGGGAGGGCGGTGGCACCCAACTCCGGTGCTGCCAGGACTCGGGTCGGGTCCCACCCACCGCCACCCGCTGTGTGGAGTCTCCAGCAGCAGCTTAGAGCAGTATTTTCCAGGTTTGCAGTGGCTAGGCCATGTGAAAGGGGACAACAGTAAACACGCAAGCAGGAGTTGGTGCTGAGCTTATCCTCTCCCCTCCATAAGCGGTCAGTTTTTCTGGACATCCCCAGCAGAGCGTCTTAACAGAGACAGGGGTGAGGAGTGCAGAAACCAGTGTCTTTGGTCTTGCGTTTGGGCTCAGAACACAGCTGGGACCTACAGCTTCCAGGCCTCGACATAGCTGGGTCTGCAGTTTTGAGCCCAAGGAGAGCCCTTTTGAGACCTGGTTATTCAAGGAGAGAATACAGGTTGTGTGGTGGAAGGTGTTCCACTTACAGTTTCACCAAAGAGGGAAATTCTGGCTGTGTAAATATGCAGAGTTCTGACATCTGATACGTTAAAAAAAAGTCTGTTTATAAAAACACTTCTAGGCCTTGGAAGCAGGTAGGCAAAGTAAGAAGTTGGTTGCACCCAGCCTGGGAACATAAAAATTCAGAGCAAGTAGTTGGTTGACTGCTTTCAGACCCATACAGAGTTTTGGGGGTTGAAGGAAGGAGGAAGAGATGAGGCACAGGAGCGAATGACCTCAGCAGGGAAGGCTTCAGAACTTGCCTTGATCAGCCTTTCTCATACTCTTTTAACTGAAACCAAAAATGAGCGAATCACTTCATGGTCCCAGATAGCATCGAACATGATAAAAGAAATGAGCAACATGGGACAAAAAAAAAAAAAAAAAAAAGTCGTAAAAGATGCTAATGTGAACATCAGTCCTCACCGACAGCATCGTTATCTGTTATTACTGCGGTCCAAGGGTCTAGGGCTTCACGTATCTCAGAAACCCAAACTCAGAGGCTACAGCCTCAGAGAGGTGGTAGGTGGCCTGGAGAGAGGCGACAAACCAGGAATGCTAGTGGTGTGGTCAACTGTAGTGACTGACCCAGAGAGGCCAGGCTTGCCTTACCCAGCTGTGCCCCAGCATGGATACTCACGGGAAGACGTGCACTTTTTACTCTTTGTGTCCCTCTTTGGTAGCTCCCGGGGCTGCCGAGTTAGCCTGCTGCTCTGGATAGCAGGGAGGCAAAAATGCCATCTTGGATCTGCCCCTAATTTAGGTGGTTTGCACTTGCTGGGAAGTGGTGCTGATGGAGGTGATGGTAGTGGTGGTGATGGAGGTGATGTTGGTGCTGATGATGGGGCGCAGTGATAGAAGGAGGGGAGGAGGGTGCAGCGCCTGGCCTAGGTGTCAGCTAGGGGACCACACCCTGGGTTGCACTAGAAGACATGTGATTGGAGACCTCAAGAACCCAGGAACTTGGAGAATGCCCGTGGGTGCCACCAACAGGAGGAATGGTGTTGGGGTACGCTACCCCAACCCCCTCCTCCGAGGAGCTTCACCCATCCGGGGAGCGCTTCCCAGTGGGGCAGCCCAGGCTTGGAGTAGTGTTTGTGATTCTGTGCCCACGCCCTTGGTTGTAGCTGATGGGGTACCCACTGGGCCGCGCATTACATCTGCCTCGGGCCAAGCAGTTAGACCGGACTCAAACATTTATTTTGCATCCATGTCTCTTGTCTCTGTCCCTTCACTCCCACTGCTTCCCCTGGAAAAGATTCAAAGAGCTCGAGAGGCTCAACACTCCCTTGCAAACATTTTGGTCTTGTGAGATATTACTTGTAAAATCAATCTGGTTTAAGCTAAACATTTTTTTTTTTTTTTATAAAACTTCAGTCTGTTTTTAGGGCAAATACAGATCTTTTCGAGGTATTTATTATTTCAAAGGCAAGGGCAGTTTGTATCTTGTGTTTTGCTCAAGAGAACTCAAAATAAACTGGACCTGAGAAGAACCAGGCCGGAGGGCCATAAACACACATATTCTGTTTGCGGGAATTACAGCTTGATTCCCTTCGCAGTTTCTTAAATCTGGTTTTACCTTGTTTTTCTAACCAACATAGGAGACGTGACTTTGAGCATTGCCTTAAATGTCAATGGTGCCCTTATATAAGGCGAATCTCAGTGCTAAGAACCCCAGAAAGAGCTTCAAACTCAGAAGATGACAGAAAAAGCAATGGATTGCTGAAGATGTCAGCCCAGCCGCGCCCACTGATAGCTCTTCATTCTTGTCTGTTCTAGGGCGGGTTGAGTCATTTTCCGTATTAGCCACTTAGTCCTGGAAACTTTAGAACATCCGGGACAAGGCGGCAAGATCTCCCTGTAGCTGGGGTTTTGCAGTCCCTCCCTTGCTAGTTTCCCTCTTGGGAAATAGTTGTCTACGGACGTGTCAGGAGACTGTGGCTCAACAAATGTGCTGCGCAAAGTCCATTTCCACAAAGCAGAATCCAGATCCATTGGACTCTTAATGTCTGTTTCAAAAATGAAGGGCAGGTAAAGCTGCCCTT